GCAAAGTGGAACGAATTGTCGGAAACCCTCATCGAAGCATAAAAGTACAAAGTTAGCTTTCTTTTGCGACCCATCTACGCTTCTTGCATTTGAAATTCAATTAATTCATCCATCTTTGCGATGCGTTAATTATACCACAACGGACAAAGTTTTACAGACGAATAGGAAAAAGACGAATACTGACAAAGGATCGATGGTAGTCGGTAGTATAAAAGGAGAACTTTTGCTGCGCTCTTTCCAACGAAGAAAAATTTTGTTCACGATATACAGGTATTCACAATGCTTCTTTGAACGAATAAAAGATCGTAATTGTACATTTTTTCAATGTTTCGAAGGACAAAGAGATTGTTATTCGACACGTAAGATATTTTTCTTCGCAATGCAATAAAAGAGGAACGTTCACACAATGCTCTCTCGAAGGAAAATTTTAATGGCGATGTTCTGCAGAATTTTGAGAAAACAAAACGATTACTCGGTACGTGGAAATTTTTCGATGAAATAAACAGAAAACAGCTATAAAGTTCTTCTGGACAAATAATTTTGATCGCTCGTTTCCACAATGTTTCGAGGGAACGGAATGATTATGCGATACGTGAAATATTTTTCTTTGTTAAAAAAAAAAAAAAGAAAAAACAAAAGAAGAACATTCATAGCGCTCTTATGGGCGAAAAAACATTTTTATCGCGCATTTGTACAACGTTCCAAGAAAACGTAAAAATATTTATATAGAGAGGAATTCGTATAGTTTTTTTACAACACTTCGAAGAAAGATTTGTTATACGATATTTATTATATGTAAAAAATTCTTCTTCGTATTAAAAGCTAAAGAGAGCGTTAAGGCGGGAAAGGAAATGTACATCATGATGAGGTAAAAAACGTATCTACAAAGTAACGCTGTAATGATATTTCGATATCACGAAACGGTGTCATTGCATTGAAAAAAAAATCTCGCTCCTCGTTAATATCAGTGAAAATAAAACCAAAGAAATCGGCTTGAGACGAGACATGTTAATGCGACCGAGCTTCTCAGCTGCTTGGACACTGATGAAAGCTCTGTTAATCGTAATCATACACTGACAGAGCGTCTGCACAGACGTATTAGTCAGACAATAAAATAATAATAAGAAAAAATATTGCATATTATGTACACGAGTTGTTTATATCGATATACACATATTTACATATATATTTGAGCACGTAATTCGATAATGAATTATTTACATGGCTGAAATCAAAATATTTCCGGTGGTATTTTTATTATTTTTGTACAGAAGAGTGTGTTTATGCAGACTGAAAAAATATATTTGATTCGTTTTACCTTCGAGATGATTTTATGATTCCTCTACATTCTTCCTGATGAAAGGGAAATATATGTAAACTTGCTTTCAAGGGAGACAGAAAGAGAGAGAGAGAGAGAGATGATTTTTTTGACAGAAGAACATGTTGGAGTCACGAGGGAAAGAGAACTCACAGAATAGGACTGCCACGAAGTCCGTTTCCTCGACGATCTTCTCTAAAATCATTGCGTTCACTTCCTCGATACGATCGGGTAGATCCATCGCTTCTAGGCTCGTTAAGAAATCTAACACATTTTCTTCGTCCATCAAGTCACCTGAAAAAGCGAAACGAATGACGAAGGAAATTTGTGTAAACTTATAATGTAGAAAATTTATTTTGTATTCTCTGCAATCGTCAATGATCTACATAGAATGTATACTTTTAAGAGAGAAAATTTATTTTTGATTCCATTCATTTTTAGTCGTCAGTACTCTTCACTTACTAAGATCTCTAACATAGAAGAATTGTTTCTTTTATCGTTTCCAAATTGCTTTTTTTTTGTAAAAGATTCAAATAGCAGAATGAAATCTCTAATACAGAAAAATTCTCTTTTATCACCTTCAATTATTAAAATTCTAAATGGAGGAGTCTCTGGTGCAAAAAGTTCATCTCTGTAGAGGTTTCGCATCCTTAGAGACTCTAAATAAAAAGCTCTTACAATTATATCTAGAAAATTACTTTTCCATCTCGGATAGTTTCGAATCGTAAATAGAATTCTACGCGATAATATTTCAAAAGGACAGGTTTAAATAACATGATTGATTTATTGCAAAATCAGTTCCACAGCTATACATTTCATTCGCAAAACAAAAGAGTTACTTAAGACGTCCGTTGCATAAATCAATTGACACTGTACCAATTCTACGCGGCTTCTACGCGTAGAATAAATCGGTTCATAACATGTATCTTCGATCGTGACTTCCTGTCGCTTTTATTTACCATCTGGTAACGTCGAAAATAGTATCTGTTGCACTAGCCACAATGGAAATAGATGCAACTTGTCGTTACATCATCGAAGGTAAAATCAAGCCGAAACGGTTCCGGGTGAAAACTAATTCTATCGAGGTCCTCTTTTTTCCCCAATCTTGTTTTATTTCGAAGAGGACGGCCGAGTTATATCTCGCGCATTTACTTAATAAATCTACAAGGTTGCGTTGCCAAATGCGGGTTTTGTTGATCACAATGTAGCACGATTGATGATCGCACCTGTCCTTTGGTCTGCTTTCGCGTTTCTTGTCCAACCGCGTTCAATTTCCGAGCTTCTTCCTCCGATTTCATTAATGTGACCCGCTTAATTCTCGCTTCTGACGAATATCGTTCTTCGTCGAATAATTTATTTTCGGTCTTTTTCATCGATCGGATGTTTCGTGTAGTCGCAGAATATTGAGTTTCAAGCAGATAGTTGCTCGATTTCTAAGTTCTCTCCTGACCTCGGATGGATATCGTCTTTTCTAGACTTATTCGTATTATTTCTAGTCGATGGAAATTTTGTTACTTTCTTACATTTGTGTTTGTAGTGATTCCTAAGAATGTATGATGATGCGTGTGAAAAATGTGTTGGCTAATCAAACGTATTATACAAATGTATCAACGAGTATCGATGCTGTTATAGAATAAAGAATATCGCCCAGTGAAGAACATAATATTATTCCATAGAAGAAAAAATTACATAAAATAAAGTATATTATACTGCACAGAATAAAATGTTTTAAACTTGAACGCGTCATTTTCGTAATAAACTCGATGCAAGTAATTATAGAAAGTTACAATTCGGCCTATCTACTATAACATAGTAGAACAACAGCTATTTATTTCCATCCTAAAAGTATCCGAGTGCTTGAAGACTTATAGATTACAGCGTACATATGCAATTATAACAACAACTCATTGAATGTATAATATATGCATTACACAATGTATAACTCATAATTACAAGAAATATATTTTACATTACAAGAAATATATAAAAGTGTTAGAAAATTTCACTGAAAGTTTCTAATAAAAATCATCAACCATCATCCCCGCTAACTAAACTCCTTAATTAACATAAGACCCTACAAGCCGTGTCTCCTTGAAAAATCAATTTTACACCAAAGATATAACGTTCGTATCATCCCCTAATAATATTTTCAGAGTCATCCTGAGCGACAAAATTTCCTGATACAATTATGATCGTGTCGTTGGAACTGATTTCTCGCTTCTATTCGATCCGAATCCTCAGCAATGTCTCCAGAAGAGAATCATATCCTGCGACAAATTTCGACGCAACTGACCAATTTGTAATGACGTTCGAACCGATTTCGAGATAGCGAGCGACTCAATGAAACAGCGAGTCACAGTACGCGCCGACGTTGTAATCGGGTTGGTTACGTAACACGCGCATTCCTTGATGTATCCTATTAATTTCTCTTAGCCGGCTGTTCTCGTGTCATCGGCCAACCGGAATCGCGTTCCCAGCCGGCGATCTCCGCAGACCGACATCAGCGGTTTTCGCATCGTGTTGGGGTGGTTATGTCGAACAAAAGTCGAGCACACGGCCGTCGCTGTTCTACAAAGGCTAACCTCACCAAATACCAACGCGTGGGATTAGTGCCAGATTACGAAGGTGGTCTGACCAGTGCAACGTTTCACTACTCGACTTCGCGAAAATCTGATTCATTGCGAACTTAATGCAACTGCGATCGTTATTTCTTGGTTCCTATTTCTAGTTTATTGTTACAGAATTCTGATATTATTGCAGAGGTGTGAAAATGTGGAAATATAGTTTGCATAGAATTCTATATATATAGCATTATATATGGTATTTTAGTATTATAAATATTGCACTGAAGAGATTATTATAGTATTTAGTATACTTTAATATCATAGCATGAGGAATTGTTGTCTAGAACTGGTAGAAATTTAGATTAAAAGAGCAAGAGGATGAATATAATAGAACGAGCTCTTTCTGCTTTTCTTTATATTTTTGTAGTACTTTTCATATGAATTCTTTTGAAAGTAGCATTATATTAGTGATTCTTTGTATTTATTGGGATATTATTATAATAACAATAAAGAATTATGGGTTAGAATTAATAGAAATCTAAATTTAAAGCGAAGAAAGAGCAGGCAGTAAAATAGGACGTTGACGTCTGACTATAGCGGGTTTGTTCTACTGGAACCAGACAGAATGTTTAAATCGCGAAAATTCGAGAACCCCGACGATTGTTCTGCGGATTCTGGGTCAAGTACTATACTGCGGCGAGTCTCGAACCTTGTTTCTCATACCTGGCAAGGTTACCGAGATCGCGGCCGGATTCCAATAAAAGTTTGGCGAACTTTCAGCCATTAGGAATCATTACTATCCGCTTTTGTTCGTCGTACGCGTGAACATCTTGTAAAAGGAGCTTCCGTTTTTTATTTTCTTTCAGTTTTTCTTAAATAATTTAATATTTTATGTGGAAAACGTATAAATTGTTGATTAAAGATCTAACCTTCATAGATGATCGGTTCTCTCTCGCGGAAATATGTGAGGGCGGGGAAGTTTTTGATGCCATACTGCTTGGCCAGTCGTTTATCGTTGATCTTGACGAAGTCTACTCCGAAGTGGTCGGTGTCGTCGTCAATCTTCTCCAGCTCGGCCAGCACCTTGTCGCATGTTAAGCAACTTCTCGCATCTGAAAGACAATTGTATCTACTTATTCTTAATTCGACTGGTATTTCGAAGGCTTCGCTCCAAGATCCTTCGTTTATCGTAAAACTTAATATTTATTTTCACACGAAGAATCTTTTTTCCGGGAGATAAACAATTAAGATATGGATCGTTGAATGGAAAGTTGGGACATTAGACTTGCAATTTGAAGATGGCTCGAAGGTTCAATATTTACTTTGAACAATGTACTTTTTATCATATATTTATACATATATTTATACATATATTTATTTAAAAACGCCTGTATCGTATCTTCCTATAAATGAAGGGTCATCGAAACCTTTATTAGAAAGTTCAGAGGTCATCCGAATGGTTAAATTTCCAATTTGCAAAGATTGAATATTTATGATCTTCTTTCATAGTATAATAAGATACATTTAAACATTTCAAATAGCATTGAAGTCGTCCGATTCACCACCTGCAAAGAAATTAGCCTGGTAAAAAGTGTACCATTTTACTCTCCTCGAAGCAACATCGACAGTCGAAATAATTTCACCAAAAAATCGTCTCGACAATGTTCGAATGGCGTCAGAAGTGAGTTGGTAGGAGGCAGGTGTTCGGGAGATTAACGATCATTTCCCTGCGGACAGTACGAATCCTTGGATAGTGGCCTTGTATTACAGAAGAAGGAAAATTAATCCTTCGCGCACGAGTTTTATGCTTATCGCCGTGCATTGGCTTGCCAGTTCCAAGCGTTCTTGGCCGGCTCTGATTCGTTCTGCTCGTCGTCGCAGCGACCAACTTACGCGAGTGTTGGGTTACAATCATTGGATATGGACACCAAGGTATCCCATCGCATGGTTTCTCCATCCATTCTCACCGATCTTGACGCTTAAGGAGATCAAGATCTCGATTTAAACTCGTCCAGACAAAAAGGATCGCGAAAAAGGAAGGGAACATGAAAGAAGGAAGCGAACGAACAGGTGGACGTCGCCATTTTTGGCGACCACGTCCTCAGAATAGAGCCACAAAGGCTGTGAGAGGTGGATTCGACTCTCTTCTTCATTCTTTCTCTTTCTTTGCTCTGACTGCTTCTTCTCACGCAGCTTGAATACGCTACTGCGTTCTCGTGTTCGATTCTATTTTTGCGGTGGCTAGCAGGGCTTATCTAAAGCAACGGAAGAAACAAAGTTACCTTTATCTTTTTCGGTCGATTCACCCTCGTTTGTCTGCTTCTATTTATTTTCGTTTGTTTTATTTACTTTTGTCCTTTTACGTTTCCTTCTCGTTGGAACGTTAGACCCATGTCGTTGAGATGAGCAGATTTAAAGGCTGCTTGCAGACACCTCCGCGTGCAAGACTGGCAGAATGCAGTCTGAGAGAGAGATAGATAGATAGATAGATAGATAGATAGAGAGAGAGAGAGAGAGAGAGAAAGAGAGAGACAGAAAGAGCAGCCGAGACGTTGAAGTACATGTGCCAATTAAATTGGATCTATTCCATTCGCTTTGCCTGTGCATTGGTGGAAAGTTGGGAGAAATTGTGCGGTAATAGTTACGACGATGGTTACATTAGAGAATTTCTTGCTGGTTAGTCAGCGTATTAAATTTGTTGAAATAAACGTTGAATAGAAATAAATAGAATTGCTTAGAACTTTTACATGCAATCTGAAACTTTTAAAGATTAATTCGTCGTATTAAACTCTTATTTGATTTTTGTATTAATTAAATAATCGTGAATGCGAAAGAAGAGGTCAATAATGGTTATAGTGAATTAAGTTTTGCCTTTGGATAAATCGTTTGTTTGGATTATAATGCAGAGTTACGATAATCCTCTCAGATTCATCGAATACGAAAGCTATCTCGAACTGATTTTCCCGGTGAAACAGAGACTTGCAAACAAATATAAATAGAGCGACACAAAACAATTCTATTTTTATTTCCTATCGTGTCCACCCACTTGTTCCACTCCTAAACGGATCGTCGAATCGAGAACGAAAAATAAGCGATATGCTAGAATTCGATTTCACGCTCACCGTATCGATGATCGCGGTTCGCTCATCATGAATCATAGATACTACTGTCCTGGAAATTCTAGCACATTATCCTCTATCTAATTTCTTCTACGACAAAGAGAAACAATCATAGATTAATATTTAATTATTTCAATTATTTATTGAACGCAATTATTTGCTGTAATTGGAAAGACGTAATATCGTAAAGATTTTATAATTGGGCACGCTTCTAGATTTTCTACAACAACACTCGTATAAAATTCCATATACCAGATATTATCTAATCTCTTTTTTATCGCATTATTCAGCACTTTTGGAAATTTTTTGTTGTCTATTCTCTTCCCAATTCTAATTCCTCGTAATTCTTCAACTTCCAATCCTCCGTGGTTTCTCGAAATTCTAAATTATCGGATTTCTATAATGTAAGTTTTTATTATTTCCGCAAATGCAATTTCTGTTCAGCCTAATTTTCTAGTAATTCTTTGCCACTTTCTGACTCTCAATTTTCTACCATACTTCTGTCGCCCCCATACGACACTCATCCTGTTTTTTGCTTCAGATTTCCTTCTCACGTTTCACCTATCAATTTTCTTCCCATTTGCACCCCAAGGCGAGAAGTGCTCGCGAAAAGACGTCCACAGACGAAATGTAAAGTAAAACGTCGCGATGGACGGCGAGGCCGCTCGTTCTTGTATTTTTAGTGGCTCGTAAACTAGGTACTGGCCGCCGTTCGATCTAGTCGTCTCTGTTTCTCGTTGTAGCAGGGGTTATCTTTTCTTGCGTGCGAAGAAGCGCGCGCGCGCGCGCTCGCTTAAGTGTCTCCGCGATTTCGCCACCTTGAAACGTCGAAGAACGTGGCACGTGGACCAGACGCGATTATATCGGAGAAATTTCCATTCGAATAAAGATCGAGTGTTGTAATGCTGATATGTACAAGTATTTTCAGGACACAGATACGTGGTTTTGATCGAGTACGAAAGTACGTGGACACTTGTTATAGAAAAATTATATATATATGTATATATCGTATGTGTTGTATATATAAAATAATTTGAAATTTGCACCGTAACGAATAGGCTGTGGATTTTTATACATTTATGAAAAATCTGATGGCGCAAGAATGCACAGAATATAAAACAATATGTGAAACATCGAAAGTATAGTACTGGTTGTAATTTTTAGCGAGTAAAACGATTCTCTACTTCGGCTCAATTTTTAAAAATATATTCATAAAAATATGATTTTGCATAAATATCTCTCTGTCTAGTAATGAAATACGACCGTCTTGATAATATTGGAAACGTTTGAAACCGTATATAGAAGCTACAAGATATTTATTGACCACATATAGTTAACAAAAAATTAATACACAGTTTGAAATGCTCGCTAAACATTGTGGTTTACCAATACAATGAATAATTGACTGTTTTAATTATTTTTCTGATCTCTGTGATATATATGCACTACTCTGTGATTATATTTGTACTAAATATCTCGTATCCTCTATGTATGTTTTTACATTTGTTTCAACCTTTGTCGCTATAATCGTGATAATCGGACTTTATCATGCTAGGATTCCCCAAAGTTTTGTATAAAATGTATAACATGTATATTCATAAAAGATTACTACGGGTGTTTGAATTTTTTAGCGGGTAACTGTATGTAGATCGACGTGCTTCGGCCAGATGTGTTGTTCTCAACGATTAGGCGAGATTGATTACAATGAACAACCGCTGCGATTCGTACGAGTGCCTCTAAACCAGCTTTTAAACTGGAGATTAGGTTAATTTCAAGTTAACGTGTGTTTTGTACTGTTTCAAAGCAGGTTTTCATGGCTTTTATTTCTGGAGTTTAGTAGATACTTTATGAAACGCGATGGTGATCCTTTTAGTTTTGTGGTAGATGGTGGGAAAAGTTAAGGATTAACATGTTAGACGAATCGTTAAAAATTACGAGATGGTGCGAATTGCAACCTTGAAATTACAGAAAATTCCAAATTGACGAATGATGTTAAATGAATTAAAATGAAAAAAATGGGTAAGAAATAAATAGAAAATTCAGAGTGGAGAAAAATGGAACTTTGCAAACTTTGCAAAAATGAAATTATAGAAGTCTGATAACTCGAAATTGTAAAATTATAGAATATTGAAATTTAAGAGATAATAAATAACTAAAAGCCTTTGGGAAATTTTCAAAAGCGAGCAACGTGATTTATAGAAGAATTAAATAATTTTCAATGTAATGTAGAAATGAATTGGAAGTATCTATATGATACTTTATTGTATAAAATTATAAATTACATACATAACCATTTTTTAAGAGAAGAAATATGTAAAAATACTAAAGGGAACAGCTGATACGGAGAAACGTATATAGAAAATTTAATGATCCTTTCGATAATGATCTTAGTCGAGCAAAGGGGAAAGAAACGTACAGTCGATGGTTTTATTTATACCGGAAGAAGCATTCGAAGCATATCTTCAGGGTCCCAGTCCGGTTCTAAAGATAGCTACTCAATCGGCCGTATTTCTTGTCTCGCGTAGACGCGTGGGTCGCGATTGTGTTGGTATTGGTGAGCTTTTGATGAACCAACGATTTGGGACATCGCGTGGGTGTTTCGAGTTTGCGCCGCAGAACAGTTAAACCCATGCGTGATCCTCGAGTATCCACCATTGGGGCCAGCACGTGCCGCGATTATTTTCCTTCGATACCGCGGTTCACGCGTGTGAAATCATTCGTTTAATTTTTTTTTCTCGCTGAGATAAAATCGAGAATGGATCGAGATTCTAATTGGGGAACTGTCTTCGTTGTATTTGAATTGGAGCAAGGACGAGTTGTGAATGTTTTGAAAGAGTTAGGCTAAATGCCTCTATAGTTGATATTTTATCTATTTTACTTAGTGAACAAATAATCTACGAAGAAGCATAAGTGCGCTTAAAAAAATTTTATTATTAAATTAAGGGACTTTGATTTATATAGAAACAGACCTTTTTGTGAACTCTGAAGTAGAATAAGACGAGGGTTTTAAAATACTCTAACTACCATTGTTACATTCTTTGTGAAATTTTACGAAGTCAGGGCTTTAATATATATATATATCAGGAGAAAGAAAACAGAAATTTATTTGTAACTAGTATTTAAAAACTAAATTCTATAAATGAAAGTGTGCTCTTAATACCTTTCTGGATTTTTTAATTGTTGTACGATTTTAGTGGAACTGCAAATAAAAAAAGATTCTAAAAAACTGGAGTATGAATCAATGGAAAATTTCGTGGTCAAGTTCTATAATAACCAGGTGCAGTGACCTGTACAAGCAGTATGGTCCCTAACCAGCGCAAAGGAACAATGTTACCCGACAATTCTTTTTACGGCTGTCTCGCCATACTTTATAGTCGAGTTTGGCACATTTCTGTCTGTTTTTTTTACCAATTTCTGTCTGTTTTCTTTCGTAGCATGTGGTTTCGAATGAATCTTTTGCATGTCTGCGATCGTTTTATTACCGACTTGTACTCCTAGACATTAAATAATCTCGGAGAATCATAAACGAGTCGGATAAACATGGAATTACCTGTTACAAAGCAACATTTTCACCAAGACCATAAATTTCATAGTTCTCCTATATAGCGAAATATTTCCTCTTCCTTTTCATTTCGAAGCCTCCAAGCGTGTCTTGAAGTATCCAGGTTACGTTTTCCTTTCTATCCTTCCTTTAATTTAAGAATCCCTTAAATTACACATTTCTTTTCATTTTTCCATCTTTTTAAGTATCCCTTAAGATATTCGATTATGGTGTACATCTTTTCCAATTTTACTTTTACCACGCCGAACCTCTCACAGATCGGGACGATGATTCGAGATGAATAGTTTTGGACAAAATGATTGAGTGGAATTATTTTTAAATGAGGTTTCAAGGCAACAACGCGGAGGAGAACGCGGTCGTTCTTCGGGAGTAGACTATAAAGCTATTACAGGGAAAACGTAACTGTGCGGTAAGTCTATGATTAAAGTAGCGACGACATGCTCAAGCAAACATACCACCGACTATCTATACTCCTGAATAAACAACCTATAGTATCGCAAGTATATATATATATATATATATCCAAGCAACGCGAATAGTTGGCAAAGGATCAGTGGTGCTTATCATTGAATTAGCAATTTTCTCATTCTCACTTTTTCCTGGCAGCGCGATAATTAAATTAACTCGCAGAACAGGTGGCCAACTATTCGATACCTTCGGATGATCAAAATCTAACTTATAATTCCCTTCCCTGCTGTTTTATTTATTTCTTAGGGGTAAAAAGCCCATTGGCTATCTTCAATTATCTATACGTATGTCGATTAAATGTCCTTTCCTTTGGGGGATGATTGATTTTTTACCTTTAGATCTGTCACTTTTTCAACTTTAGATGTTTAGCTAGATTGCTCAGATTATTTGTCAATTAGGTCAGCTATTGTATTTTTTATTCGCCAAAGAATTATAAAAATTCTACACAATGATATTTTCTATCGTTTCTCCAAATAAAAAGTGTCGAAATTTTTAACAAACTTAGATTACACATTTTTGTTTTCTTCTCATTAGCGAGAGGATCAATTTTCCGGTCACTTCTCTCTTCGTTCACCGCGGGATTAAAAAAATGTTACACGATAATATCTACATCTTGAATAAATATGTTCCTTGAATACAATATTCTAGTAAATTCCTGCCACTTTATTTCCTATTTTCACGAAAGAGAGAATAGTCGTACAGGTGAAAATATTACTTCAACCGTCTCGCGATGCCAAATGACGCGGAAGAGGAAGATCATCGAAGCACCGTCATGTAAAACAATTTTAGATCCTAGTCGAATCTTCGAAAGATGCTCCACGTTCCTTCCTAGCGATCTTTGCGCGATATTCGGCCTTGAAAACGATGACCTAGCCTCAGCGGCCGTAAATCGCGCGGAGTTACAATTCTCACGTTTCTCTTAATCGTAAATCCATTAAACTAACAGAACGTTACCACGAGCGAAAATTTCCAGATTCCTCGTGCAATCTCGAGGTTAATGAGAGTGAAATTCGAGACGACAGTCAAATCGGTTGCACGCGGCTGAGAAAACAGAACAGTTTATTAGTGGAACGAAAGCTATAGCAAAGCCATTTTCTTCAGCGAACAGTGTTTCTAAGCCAATGTTACCTGTTTCTAGTCCGACCTTTCCTTCTTCATTCGATGGATTCCTACTAAATCATCGATGAATCGCGAGATTTCATACCATTTGCTCATAAATCACGATTTACGTGGTTCTAACGTTTATTTATAAAATGGTACCTTGTCGAAGAGTTTCGGAGGAGGATCAAAGGGTAATTGTTCCTTGTTAATGACGCGACAGAAACGATCGACATGATTGGACAAGGAATCTTCTCCTTAATTGACGGGGCGGAAAGAGCTCGTCTTTCAGGAAGCTCGAAACGAGGCAGTGCGGCTGGAAATATCTCTTCCAGTGCACTTGTCTTCTGACACGCGTCTGATCTTTCATAATCTTTTCTACTCGCCTCGAAACCCTTTTCGCTTGTTAGATACATCCGTTGGTAAAAATCGCGTGTTTTTAATACGATGTTTTCATCTTACGCGAAATAACTTCTTTATTAGATTATTATTATTAGGTTATATGGCGCTTATTTGTTAACATCACTCTATCATAGAGTACTTCATCAAAGAACTCGTAACAACCTCTACCAAAGAACCTAAACAATTCTACTACATTAAACACCAAAAAGTAAACGTAATATACAAGGTCCGGACGAAATCTGCGCAGAAAGGATAGGAAATAATGATACCTTGTACAAGAATAAATCAGAAGTATCGTTTTGCAACGGAGTAGAAAGAAAGTTTAGTATGCAAGAGTGGCACGTAAACCTCATGATTTTATGAAACGTAATTATGTTTGACACGAGCAACGAATAGAATACCGACTTAATAGACTGTGCAAAAAAACAACTATAAATAGACAACTATAATTACACTGCGAATGTTTATGCGAATCGATATTTTTATGTGCTTCTATTTTAGAGAAGTAAATTCTAATCAGCGATCTGTTTTACCTGTTACATGCAACAACGAGCATACTACAATACTTGAGATATTTTGTGTATTTTTACGCATTTTTGCATCATCGCAACATTTCAATCTCCTGCAAATGTATAAAAATGCACAGTGGACCTGTAACCCAAATCAACTCTGTCGAAGCAAAACTCGAAAAACGGAAACAGAAAATTCAGTTTTCTATCGAAAAATTTCGAAATACGATCTCTCGCTCTCCCTATCTTCTTTATCTTGTCAAACTTAACGAAATAATCAGAAGAAAAAGCGGCGTGCACGTGGCAAAGAAGCCGCGAGAACACGGCGGCTGGAAATAGGCCCGCATCTCGAGCTCGTCGTCCGGGTCTTCACGGCGACTCTGTTAAAAAAGTCTCGCCCCTTATCCCCCATCCTAGCCATGTTATCCCTCGAACCAATTAAGATTTTCGTCTACCTGGAGGTGGTTCCAGTTGCACGATCTCAACACTGTTGACTCGAGGACGATCTTGGTTGTGGGGTGGTCGAGGACGGTATGTTTTCAGTCGAGACGATAGTGATAGGCTTGGCGGCAAGCGCTAAAATAACTCGAACGTGTGCTAAAAGTGGCGGCTACCGGAGCGCCGGCCTTGCTACGGTAAGCTTCGGGAGAGGTGTCGCTCTTCCTTCCCTACCGATCGACCAGAACCCCGGCCAATGGAGTTTTCTATAAAAGTTCACCGAATAAATAATTACGCGTCCACGTCACGAGAAAAATAAAGAAAAAAGAAAGAAAAAATAAGAGGGAGAGTGCGGGAGAGATTTTGTGATGTTCGAGAGACTATTTTTACAGGAGGCTAACAGAGGCGAGGATGAGCCGCAACGAAACGTTCCTCCTCGACTTCGCGCCGGTGTATTTTCAGAGTAACTCCGTTACGTCATGAAAACGACGTCGAAGATAGTCGAGGAAAAAGCCAAAGAAGCCCCGTTTTTCAGATGGAAGAGAAATAATCGGGTTTAGGCTTCGATTCTTTCGGTTGTGCTTCTTTTTCTACTTAATTGGTGGAATTTGCTTTCTGGCTGGGGTATGTTTTGCTGCGTTTCTCATAGTTGCGATTTGGTCGAACTTGATAAAGCAAAGGGCTTAAATTGTTATGATATTCTTCAAAATGAAATGCTTTTTCACTTATCAAAATTTTCTGTCATTTCGAATATTTTACAGATATAGCTCGTCCTAATTGCATGGGACACTTTGTATATATCTTTCCTAGCAAAAGAGTTGATAAATCTTATCCGTTAAATTGTATACTTTATCGCAGTTCTACAATTAAAAACTGCTGTTTTATCTGATTTCGCATGATCATTCGCTGTTGGCAAAGAGCGATAGCAATCGTCCGAGATATTTCGACGTGAATCGTTGCTGTTGGTTATTTTGTTCGTCTTTTAGCGTGTTAGCTATTACGTCAGGAGGTATTATGAAAACGTGATTCAGGGTAGAGTCTCGAGAAGAACGCGACATACGTGAGAGACGTGACACACGAGTATACACTAAGAACAGGTTGTCAAGAGGCGAAGAGGAGGATAACCAGTGACCTCCTGCCTTCGAAAGGCTTTAACCCTTGTTAGACCAGGTGACAGTTTATCTTTACATGTGCCACTTCGTCATGCTCCACTTTACCATTTTACCAGCCAGCGCCTTTCAATCTTTGTCTCTTTTCTTCTGATGTTCTTCGTCTGAGCTTCTCGATCTTGAATGTGAAAATAGCGATAAAAAATAAAGCAAGACGATTCGAGGTAAATTACTAAAATTAATCGTAGAACTGGGAGCTTCTTTAGAACGTCGATCTTGTATAGCTGTTACACCACGTCATAGAACCAGTGTTACCGGTGTATTAACTACATTTTAGTTCCTAATTTGTTGGATTTATTTTTTAGGAAATATATAATATTTTAGAAAATTTAGTTTTCTTTTTATAAGAAATCACAATTTGTTCCTCAAAGTTCCGTTTATAGCGGATAGATTAAGCTTATGGAGCAAAGAACACTTGTCCTGAATTTATAATGAGAGCTTTGACTTATAATTTGACTGATTAATCATTTCTAATTACTCGATTCCTTCAGAGAGATGAATAATTCTCTAAACTTAAACTCAACGTTTACGCATCTTCTTTAAATATCTCGTCTGTCAATGTTAATTAAATTGTCATACTCCATGTTACAACGAATTGTCTTGCAATTACATACGTGAAGCTCCTTGACCCGACGATTTTCATCGTCTCGTCGTTGAATTATGAGCACGATGTACGCGAGTTCTATCGATTGAATTAAACGAACGGCTGGCAACACATCTTGATATGTCGCGATCGCCACCCGTTCACATTTGTGTGCGTCACGACACTGTGAGTCAGTGGCCGGCGTATCTCTTGCATTGGAGCAACAAAATCACAGCCAGACCAACTTCATAAACTCCTATCGGCTTTCGCCTCAGCCGTAACACTATCTTTCACTCAATTTCTCGTACAAGGTTAATCCATTTACCATTCACTTCCGCTTTCGTGCCATAACTGTCTAACAAGCGATGGTTAATAGATTGTTATTTTTATCTTTCCATTTTTCAGTTAATTAATCACACATCATGTCATCATGTACCTTATCATATTTGCTATAAAGTTCTTCCTGTTTTCAAATTTATTTTGACATGTGTACACCTATATGAATGTAGTAGTTTCTTTGAAACATCATAAAGCAACTCTACCAAATATTTTTCTGTTTTCAGAATTATCATAATATACATAGGAGTATAGTATTCTCTTTAAAACGTCATAAAACTTTATGGTCATCCACGCAATGTGCCAGCTATTTTCATATACTCTGTTTATATCCCACGTTTCAATGCTTCGATACAGGCTTCGCGTATTGTACCGAGGTAACCCTGGCTTCTATATTTACGCGTTTAACTACGATTTTAAATGATTCTGTGATTAATGCATTCGTTAAACTTCCATTGCACCGAGCCACCTTGCGAGCGTCTAAATTTACGTTCTCGTACTGCGGACGGAGTATCAATGAAAGATTCTGCGGTTGTCCTCGAACCAAGTGTCAAAATCGATACGTTCATCGTCTAATCGTTACATCAGTTTCATCCACGTGAAAAGATCCACTGGATGCCGCATTGGAAATTTTATGTAAACGTTTTACCTTGCGTTTCGTGTTATATAGAAAGTGCAAACGATTTTGTTTGTTCATGTTCTGATAAACGTTCTATTGTGCCAGCTTCTGTTCCCAGCTTCTATATTTACATGCTGTATCCAAAAATTTTGTAGGATCAACAATTCGTTCGGCGCCTGTTGGGTACATTTTATCCTCAGAGATAAATAAGTCAGCGTGTGAAGTCAAAATTATTTGCATAGCAGAGGATGTAACGAAGATCTATGAAATCATAGGATGAGAAGAATTTTCCGATACTTTAAATTTAGAAATATATATATAGAGTTAAGATTCTGAGATAACAAAATAGTAAGGGTATTTGTAAATTTACACTTTTACGGATTTTCACAGAGTTAGAAAATAATTGGCAAAAAATTCGCAAAAGAACAGGTCAAAGTTACGACATAAAAATTGTGTCCTATCGAATAATCATTTTACTACGGTAAGAATTTTTGAATATACATAAGATAACCTTCTGATGTCAAAACATGCGAGAATTATAATTCGTTTTTCTACTATTATAAGTCGTAATTCTTCAAGATTCTCTTACGATTTTATTATTTTTAGAGCCTTGACGATTTATAAATAAAATATATACATATATTTCTAGATAGAAAAATATTAGAAAATTCTTTCCTGTTTTATTGTCTTATACATTTTCGTCAACCTATATATTTCGACCGCGGGAATAATTTTCTGATTCACAGCAAAAATTCTTCCGTTGTTTTGACATTTGTTTTGTTAAAAATACCAAAGAATGACGTAATCACGAAACGGCGAATGATGGAAAAACAATAACGTACAGTTTGATAGAGAATTATTATTAAAGTCACATTATTTCAATTGCAGACGCAGACGCTTGCGAAGATTCGCATTTACCTCGAGACGGCTTGTCCTACTGAGTCGACTCCACTTGGCAAAGGGAGAGAATTTAATACTTGTTAATTGTCATGCGAATGCAATCCGCGTGAATAACGTGTATATTACCTCCTATATATAATTGTACACTCCATCAACGTCGTTCTCCCAAATTGAAATTCGAGACCAAAAGAAAACATCGAATTTATCTATTTATTTTCTTGAAAATCTATCTATCATCGAACTTATGAAAAATCTCCTTGAAAGGAAACCACTGAATTTATGTACAATCGTTTTCTTCGAAAATCTATTTCATCCATTGTTAACCCCTTGCGAAGAGTTTTACGTAAAAATAATATTAAACGAGACGTTAATATTGCTTTGCAAATTACTTATTACGACAAACTGATTCTTTAAATATTGATTTTGATTATGTCGAATACTATGATCTATCAACAACCCCAACGCACTCGCACGATGAAGTCTAAAACTTGAAACGAAGATTTTTCATTCGGAAAGAAACAAACAAGAGTATAAATTTATTTGTGCAATAATGTTCCTCGATTTTCTACTTTTTATCGGTAAAAATAACGCAAGAAACAATTTTGCGGATTATTAACGTCGCTGTAATGGAGGCAGCAAAATGGATTCAGCAACGGGTTGGATCGTCAGGAATGGCATGGTCGTCAGGAATGGCACGATCGCTCATTCTGGAGATTCGTCGAGGACAAAAGGTAAAGAAGATGGTCGAGACCAACGATTTCAACGAGAAACAGAGGCGTCAATCTCCTGCCGAGAGATTTATTTATAACGCGTGAACGCGCGTCCCCGCCTTGGTACATTAAACCGTGCACGTATTGACGTCTCACTTGTCGTCTTTTGCACGCAAAACGATCTCAATGACGAATCGCGTGTTGCAGTTCTGGCTTTCATCGACACCCACTACGGCACCGCCACAGATTATGTAATTCGAAGATGAAGAAGAAGAACAAGAATAAGAAGAAGATGAAGAGAACGAAGAACGTGGAAGGGTGGAACAGGCGTCTTGCAAGCCAAGAAAATTTTACAAATATTCGTGCGATGGTCTGATAAATTCCATCAATCTTCAAAAATACGCTGTTGGTCAAGTATCTGGCATTTAAATGTAATAATTGATAGAAGAAGTCAGTTTAGAATTTTGATATGTTATAGATGTCTTCAAATAATAATCTACGAAAGTAAAGGAAATTTCTATTGATTGATTGATTTACTGTCTAATTGATAACAAAGACAGTTGAAAATTCGTAGAAGTTGATTCCAAATTGTGTTCATTGAATTTCGAAATATTATTATCACTATAGAGCAATTATTTGTGTGTCACGTGATCTCACTGTCACGTTAAATATCTCGGACATTTCTAACCCAATTTCTGAGAATAAAATATCTACGTTAAGCACGTAGTTTCTTAATTTAGTATAATCTTTTCTCGAAGAATTTCGATTCCAACCCAGATTTCTTTTAGAGGAGCGAAAAAGTTGGAAGGCGATGGAGGAGGATCGAGAGCCAGCTTCGCCTTAGAGTCGCTGAACCGAGAGGAATGCAAGAGTGAAAATGGAGAGTGAAATAGAGAAGGGAAGAGAAAGGGGGATGGAGCATACAGCACGAGGTACCCCGAAGAATTTGCTGGCCGTACCAGAAGCAAAAGGGCTGAGGCTATAAACGGGTTATGTAAGATTGAGTAGCTGCCACGTGTCGTCGGACGTCGCATTGCTTCTGTACTTCCTGAGTTCACTTTCGCAATCGACAAACCTAATGCCTTTCCAAAAGTCTGGAACGTCGAAATCTTCCAATTTTCAAAGTCTGTAATCCGTTATTTTTCTTTAAATAGTTTTTGAAAATGAATGGAACATCGTTGAAAATATTGTTCACTGGCAACTATGATCTTCGAGAATTATATAGCCAGTAGAATTGCTTAAATCTTTTCAATGTTAATTAATCTGGTGATATTTCATCTATATTCCATCTTAATTAAAAGAGATTAAATGACTATAGTTTAGGAACTAAATGACGAAGCTGATCAGTTTAGCCTGCTTGTGACTAAAGTAATAAAGAGTGGAGGGTGTTATAGCACGATAAGATACTTGAGGGTTAAGTTTGAAGTAGTATTTTATTCTCATTAATTCTGTTGAGACTGTTCATGAATTATTGATGGCGTGTATGAGGTAACACGTGTTCATAGTGAAATATATTCTAGTCTATATTGTGTTTGAAATACTTTAAACGTCTCTTTAACAACGCAACATTCTACATAATCGTAAAATATAGAATCTAAGATGCCATATTATCAAAGTTAGAATTATACAAGTATTTCTTTTCACAAATGTTTACACCCACAAATGTATGAATCACAAATAGAGAACCGAAACTATAGAACCTAAATATCAGCCTAAAATACCGGAGTTAAAAGACAGGACCTAAATACAAGATATTAACCATCGATCTAATATTCAGAACTACATCTTTTCAAAACACCAACGAACACCCTCCAATTATCGAAGTCAGAACTATTAAAAGTTCCGAAAAACCTCAACAAGCATCTACAAGACAAATCCTCAGAATCAATTATTTTACGATTCCAGAAACTAAGAAAACAGCGCTAGAACGAAGGGGGGACAGCAATCATCGTCATCGTCTTGCTCCACCCTCTTGCCAAAGCAGAGAATCCAAGTCGCTCCACGAAACTTCTGTCGTTGGAAAATGGCAATACAAACTAAATTGGAACCAAATTAGAATGAAATTGGCACGAAATTTCTTATTAGAAAAGAATACCAATCAAAACGAAAACATCCACAGTCCCAGGATGAGAGGAACACTTACACCAATACACGGCAACAAAGTCCTTCTCGTTGAGGAGTCGCTCGAGCTGTTTGGCATTAACTTCCTCGATGACAGGCTCGGCGTCCTTGTGGCTACCCTTGGACCGAGGCTCGTCCGGTTTCGTCCTCGCGACGGCGTCCACGGTGCCTAGGAGGGCGCATAACACCGCGAAAACACCGAGAAGGACGATCGTCTTCGCGTATCCCGTCGGCATCGTCGTTGGCCCGTAGGTAGTATTCCTCCTTCGTCTCCGCCAGCACCACCACCACCGGCCGAACCGTACCGTCGAAACGTCGTTCGCCGTCGACATCGCCGCACTGACTGGCACACCGGCTATTTTTGATTTTTCGGACAGCGGCGCAGAGCAAACCGACGACGACGACGACGACGACGC